TCCACGATGTCTGGAGCCTCAGGTGTGAAAACTTGAATGGCTGTGAGGTCATAAGGGAAGGACAACAATCATTTGGCCAGAGTATCTGGGTAGATGGTGTCACTTCCTGGAATAGGGAAGGCTTGAATATTGGGGTCACAGTGGGAATCAGTGATCTGTTCTGACCATATTAGCCACTATGTGCTCTGTAGTTGTCCTAGTGTTTTAGGGTTATGAATCCCAACTTATTTCATGGCCATTCTCTTAATTCTATAGGCCAACTTTCACCAGTTTCATAGATCCAGTTTTCCTCTTAAGAGTCATTTCAGTTTATTCTCTGAGAACTTTCCTTTCCTCCTCCTCCTTTCTAGAATCTCTGGGTCTTAGTCATGATCCTTGACTTAGTAATAACTAAAATGCCCCCATCCCTGCTTTCTTTAAAGGAGCTATCTATATAGATAATAGAGATGTATATAGTTTTCCCCCACTTATTGATTTGCTCTTCTCTAAGATCTCAAACTTTATGCTAAGGAAGTCCCTCTGTTTAACTCTATTGGTGTGTCTTCAGTGCCCTCTCCTTTTTCTTTCCCAGTGCTCCTGTTTAAGAGATAGTGTTTATGTATGTTTGTGCTCATAGAAAAAGAATCTGGAAGGGTGAGTTTTGTTCTCTTGTACTTTATCTTCTGAATGTTTTCAATGAGCATACATTACTCTTGTACTCAGAAAAAATAGAGCTATTTGCATTTTAAAAACAATTTATAATGTTTGCTTAGATTTTAAGCTGTTGTAAAAACAAAAAAAAGAGGCTATCTTATATACTACTGGATGGGGTTATAAATTCATAGCATCTTGCCTATGAAATGTCCATCTGACACTACAATTTCTCTTCTAAGCATTAACTCTAAAGAAATAGTCATATATACTCACAATGTTATGTGCTCAAAGGTGATTATTATAGTGTCATTTATTTTAAATAACCTGAAATCCTATTTCCAATAGGATACTGGATGTCCATAAAATAAACCTATGCAGCATTTATAGGATTTTTTAAAAAAATTTTAATGCTGTGGGCTATGATATTTACACAAAAAACACATGATGTATTCTATCTACTGACCTATGTTTACATCTGTATATTTATTTTTACATCTACCTAGCTTTCTACATATATTAGAATTTCATTCACTATAGTGCAACAGGGAGGGGGGCATTTTGCCCCCCAGGTGTGGGGATTTGGAAATGTCTGGAGACCAGCACAGTTGGGGAGGGAGAGGTGCTACTGGCATCTAGTATGCAGAGGCTAGGGATGCTCTGAGTCCCTTCAATGTACAGGAGAGCCTCTGACAACATAGAATTATCTGACCCAAAATGCCAAGTGTCCAGTTTGACAAACCCTGCAGTAGAGCATTTACATTATTCAAAAAAGTTTAAGACAAAATTTACGTCATGATCAATCCTACCAGTGATTGATCACTATTGCTAAAAGTTTGATATGTGTATGTATTAAATTTTCTATGATAGTTTTGTGCTTTAATAAATAGCAAAAGGGTATTTTTTGAAATGAACTAATTTTTTTATTTTAAAAATTTATTCTTCTTCAACAAGCTACAAATGTTTTTCACATATGAAACATACTAGTCATTGCTTAAGAAATTATATAACTTAAGAATTATAATTTCAAGTCATTTACATGGAGGAATATTCCACAAAAAATCCATCATCATATATTTACTGATTCTCAACCTTCTATTCAAAGTATTAATATGTAAATATTTATATATTTGGTTAAAATAAGGAAAAATTGTGGCATCATAATCATAATGCAATGTATTTGATATATAAAGGGCAGTGTGTTTGACTAACCAGGTCATAGTAACCTCATTACTACTCCAGTGACTGGTTTGTGAATGTATATTTCCCAGTTGTGGTTAATGAGATATAAATGTAAGTAGCTTTGGGGTCTTTGGGGGATGGTTTCTCAGCTTTTAAAAAATAGAAGAGATATAACAGATTGTTTATATAAAATAACTTAAAGAATGTATATATCAAATATTAGAATTAATAAATGAATTTAGCATGATTGCTGGATATAAGGTCAATATTACAAAATTGAGTTGTATTTCTATATTTCAGCTTCAAAAATTATAAAGAAAAAATTTTTAATGCCATTCACTATAAATCAGAAAACATCAAATACCTAGGAACAAATCTAATAAAAGATATTCACAAGACCTCTACCCAGAAATCTATATAACATTTCTGAGAGATATTAAAGAAAATCTAGATAAATTGGAGATATATCATGTTCATTGATTAGAAGACAACATAATGAAAATTAAATCAAAGAGAGATTTCTCATCAAAATGGTTTATGGATTCAATCTAACTTCAGATGAAATCCCAGCTGATTTTTTGTAAATGGAAATTAGCCAACTGATTCTAAAATATATGTGAATATCAAAGATCCAAGAACAGCCAAAGCCATCCAGAAGAAATTTGAAGGAATTTCAAAGCTACATTGCAAGGGCAGCTATAAAGCCATAATCATTAAGATAGTGTGATTT